TTAAGTTTGCAGATCGAAATGGAAAAATGGTAACTGATATAGATAAGATAATTAAGGTAGTTGACGAATTTTACACCGAATTATATAGAATTATATAGAGAAAGGGGTAAGAAAGACGGCACCAAGTTGAGAAAAGTCCAGAATGTGGGTTCAGAGGATATCCCAGAAATAATAATCGAAGAAGTCTCAAAGTCATTAAATCGAATGAAAAAACAATAAAACAGCTGGTGATGACCAAATCGTTATTGAGGCAGTTAAAGCAGGAGGAAAGACAGTATTGAAAGCATTATCACAATTATATAACTTATGCCTTTCAAAAGAGGTTACACCATCTCAGTGGAATGAAGCTGTTATAGTAGTCATGCACAAAAAAGGGAGATATAACAGAGCTAAAGAACTATAGACCCATTAGCTTGTTTATCTCACGTTTATAAGTTGCTTATGAAGATAATAACTAATAGGTTAACATCAAAACTAGACTTCTATCAACCTTGCGAGCAAGCAGGATTTAGAGCTGGATTTAGAGCCGGAACAAATGATGATTTACAAACCATCAAGTCGTTGACTGAAAAAACCATTGAATATAACAAACCCCTGATACTTGTCTTTATCGACTTTGAAAAAGCATTTGATACGGTCAATAAGTGAAATGCTCCAAGCTCTAACACAATGTAGAATATATCACCGATACATATTTCTCATCAGATAAGTACATCTATCAACATGCTACAGCCTGTGTAAGACTTAATGAAGATACTGGGACTTTTCGTATTGAAAGAGGCGTTCGGCAAGGAGATAACATGTCTCATAAATTATTTACAACTTTGCTAGAATACGCTTGTAAAACAATAGATTGGAACGAAAAGGGCATCAATGTAGATGGAAATGTTTTAAATAACCTTTAAATTTGCAGATGATATCGTTCTTATTGCAGACAGCTTTGATCAGGCACAGATAATGCTCCAAGAACTCCATACTGCCACAAAGAGAGTTGGTCTTAAAATAATTTTTCAAAAACACAATTTATGACAAATTTAGTCCACAACAAAAACATCTCAGTAGAAGACAAAGATATTGAGCCAGTTGACTCCTATAAATACTTGGGCCATGAGATCAGAATAAGTCGAGACAACCAAACAATCGAGCTGAAAAGAAGAATAAACCTCGCTTTGGCTGCATTTGGAAGGATGAAGGATATTTTTAGGTCTAAGATGCCAATGTGTCTGAAAAGAAAAGTATTTAATCAATGTATTTTGCCAGTGATGACCTACGGCGCAGAAACCCTAACGCTCACAAGAACAACAGTGAGTAAACTACAAGTTGTGGAAAGAGCAATGGAGAGAATTATGTTAGAAATTTCTCTACGTGATAGAATACCCAATGCTACTATACGCAAAAGATCAGGAGTAGCAGACGTTATTGAAAGGATAACAACACTAGAGTGGAACTGGCAGGTCATGTAGCAATATCAGTTGATGACCGGTGGACAAAAAGAATTTTGGAATGGAGACCCCGAACACAAGCTTACAGAAATAGAGGTCGACCCCCAACGAGATGGACAGATGACATAAAAAGAGTGACTACAAATTGGATTCAGATGGCGCAAAATCGGACTAAGTAGAAAAGCATGCGAGAGGCCTATGTTCAGCAGTGGACGTTAGAGGCTAGTTGATGATTATGATGAAAACGACATGTTTTAAATGTAAATAAACCATACATTAGACATTAAATTGTCCAAATATTTGATTTCCTAACGCCCCTCATAATAATACAGTGAGGACACAAAGTTTACCAATAAATTATTATACTCAACAAACTAATAATCTACAAAATACACGTACAATTTTAAATACCTACCATTTCTTCCACGCCTAATATTTCTTCTTAAACTACATCTCAGATAAACAGTCATTATCATTTACAGATATTTCCATATTTACAGATATTTCCATCGTCGGAAGAGGACATTGCAGGAACATGGAAACAATATTGTGGAATGTTGTTTCATAGTGACCATGAAGATGTGAATCCAGAAGAATTAATATGACGAAAGGGAACCACCTATTTTAAAATCGAGAATAGAAACCGCAATAAAAAATTAAAAACTGGAAAATCTCAAGGAAAAGACGGAATCACAGCGGAAAGCACTTACAGAAATGATAGACATAGGAATTGAAGTAATGTTCAAAATGTGTAATGAAATCTGAAAAAACAGGACAATGGCTAGATGATTGGTGTAAGCTCACTTTTGTACTCATTTATAAGAAAGGCTCACCAACTGACTGTAATAACTGCCACACTATAGCCCTGATCTCCTACGCAAGTAAAGTTCTGCTAGCTATAATTAACGGGAGAATAAAATCAATACTTTTACCACAGATCCCACAAGAACAATGATCAGTCGTAGGCCGAAAAATCAGCAATCTCCGAAATGCTGGCGACACTTTTGTACTAGCATCAATAACAAATGACCTTGAATACATCATGAACAAACTAGATACTATTAAATCGTGAATATGGACTCAAACTTAATGTACAGAAGACCAAGGTAATGATAAGGCGCGCCGCACATTCAGACGCAGGTGACGCAGGCAACGCAGCGTAGGACAGCACAGTTTCTGTTTTCCGTACAACTTACATTACCCCGCGCGAATTGGAAAGCAGGGCAGGGCAGCACAGAACTGTGTTTAGAGAAAACCTGCCAGCGCAGTCGTCCGGACAACAGATTCCTGTGCCACGTGCAGAGCAGTTTTGTTTGTTTCTTAGTAAAATTTTGTGTGGTTATATTCGAAATGAATGAACAATTAATCGAATTGGTGAGAAGCTAGAGAATTCTTTACGATATCAACGATCCCAATTATTTAAATTAAATAACTAATTTTACAAGAAGATAGTGAAGATGAAGACACACAACAGGAAGACTCCATAGTTGATCCAGAGAGTGAAATTTTTGAAGAGGTTACCAGCGACATTCGACATGATACCGAAGAAATCGAGAGTGTTAAAAATGACATTGTAATGAGCCGTCTACGTCTGGTATTGTTATACAAAAAAAATAATGAAAAAGAAAATACCAAACGTAAGGCAACTAAAGGACCAATCAATCATAACCAAAGTAGCTAAAAATAAGAAACTTAAAAATGATGATATATAGGAAGTGATAAAGCAGTCAATTATGCAACGTCAAAAAAGGGCCGAAGAAAGAGCAGTTGAAAGGGCAGCACAGAAGCCTATTGGATGATGATCTCTATCACTTTTATATGTCGATGTACAAAAATAACCAAAAAAATGCCTCCTAAATTTCAACATCGTGTAAGAAATGATGTGTTCCAAGCTATATTGCAGCTCGAAGCTGCATATCTAGACATTCATGATCCAATTCAAGAAAACTACACTCATAGTGAACAAAGGGTTTTTACAAGTGCATATGTTTAATACCCATATTCAGCAGCCCCATTACTCGTCAACACCTCTTCCATCACCAAGTTCCAGTCACAGTAGCCAGCATACTGAGAATTAACATTGTAATAATCCTCTAGCTAATATTCCCAACAACTGTTTTTCATGCTCAAATGATTACAACTTTAGATGCACCAGTTAATTATTCATATATTACACTCACCCCCAGGTTGTCTGCTGAAACATCTCGTCAAACCGTTGATGCCGGTAATATTCGTAATTTTGTGGAAAATTATAGAGTATAGAATTATGATTGTTTAAAATAATATTTTGTAATTTTTACTAAAACAAAATTAATAAAAATAATACCTTAAAAAAACAGCCAGTTTTTCTTTGGTTCCTATTGGTTTTTGGGCATTACAACCATCTGAATAAATACTATTTTCTACTATCTTATGTACTTCATCAACTTGTTTTCTGCTTAAACCGAAAAATAATTGCAAACTGACGATAGTGCAAATTCCCCATGAGTATTTCTCTTTTTTCATATAGTTGCTTTTCCAAAATAATTTTTTTCTCTTTGACATGTTGAATAATAAAACTGTTTCTTCAAATTCTGTGTCTGACTCCTGATTCGCAACTGTCCAGAAATAACGCCATTATTTAAATTATAAAATTCTCTTTCTATGTTCATATAATATATTCGATATTCGCACCTCAAAATTTTCGAGAAGACTGCTTCCAAATATGCGCTCACACTGCGTGACACGTATATTTTCTGACCTGTGTAGCCTGCCCTACACTGCGTCACCTGTTTTCACCTGCGTCCCAATGTGCTGCTTACTTAATCGATCGAATTAGAAATAACCATCCGGAAATACGAAACGTAGCGGGGTTTGAAGTGGTAAGCCGTTTCAATTACTTAGGTTCTGTTATCACAAACAATGGTGGATGCGAAGAAGAGATACCTCGATGCCTTACAATGGCCAGATTACCAAACTTACTAAAATCTGGAAAGATACGGACATAATCAGGAACACGAAACTGCGGCTAGTATGGACGCTTACCTTTCCTATCGCTATCTATGCGTCAGAAACTTCGGCCATTAAAAAGTCCGACTCACGACGTATAATGGACTTTGAAATGTAGGTATATCGTAGAATGATGGGCATATCCTGGACAGTACATCGCACAAATGTCTCAATATTGACAGAACCCGACATTAATACTAGACTTACCACAATTATCAACCAAAATATATTGAGCTACTTTGGACACATTACCAGACGAAGGGAAGGCATGAAGAGGTTGGTAGTTGAAGGCAAAGTAGATGGTAAAAGAACTAGAGGAAGAGGATGAGGAAGACTCCGATGGTCGGACCAAATAAAGTGCGCTACCGGTTACTTTCTGTCTGAGGCAGCACACCGCTCCCAGGAGAGAGAAGAATGGATAGGAACCATTCGTCAAGTAGCATAACGTCACCACATCCTTACGAAGGATAAAGGATAAAGGAGGAGAAGGAGGAGAAGTTATTGTAACAATACGTTACTCAGGTAACCGTTGATATTACAGCCATAAAAAAAACATATGTATTAGTTAATTCAAATTTATTTTAGATGATTTTAATACAATCTAACCATATTTTCTTAATATTTTATCTGCTTCGTTGTACACAAATACTTTTCTATTAGTTTGGAGATTACTTAACAGATCTTCTAAATTTGCTAATTTTTCCATTAAACTGTAGGCTTCACTTCTTTTATTGTCAAACGCGTTCGAGACACGTTGTAAAGCAATTTCAAAATTATCAAGTTCCCTCTTGGCGTTACTGGTCGTAAGTCTTTTTTCGATTAACTCTTTTCTTAGCTTAAACAGAATTAATTTGGATCTACTTATTCAAGTCTTAATTAATAAATATATAGTATAGAATAGATTATATTTTAATAAATGAGCGATACAGAAACTGTATAAGATCAGTTAAGGCTTATCCAGGCGCAGATGTTTCTTCAGATCATAACCCCCTGATAGCGCAGGTACAAATTAGACTCAAAAGACCTTCAAATAAAACAAAAATAGATCACATAGATACCAGCCGCTTACAAGATCCAACAATTAAAGAAGATTTAAAACAACATATCAATGATAACTTACGAATGCTTTCTACAAAGACAGAGAACACGCATGTAGAAGACAAGTGGCAAGATTTAAAAGACGCCATAATAAAACGTGCCCAGAAAATGCTTACCAAAGAGAAACAGAAAAAAGGACGAGAATGGATAACAGAAAAAATTTTAGGTCTCATGGAAGAGCGAAGACAGTTAAAGGGAAAATGCAGCCAAAAATATAATGAAGTAAACAAACAAATCAGAAAAGAAATACGAACTGCAAAGGAAAATTTTTATACAAGAAAAATGCGAGGAAATCGAAGAACTACATCTCAAACATGACACTTTTAACTTACATAAAAAGATAAAGGAACTGACAGGTACACAAAAACGAAAACATCCCAATCTCCTATGCAACGCAAATGTGAAATAATAGCCGATCTACAAGAAAAGCTTAGGACCTGGAAGAACTATGTAGAAGAATTGTTCGACGATGAAAAACAAGAACCTAATATAGATAACTTGCAAGGCGACGAAGGACCAGAAAATAACTAAAGAAGAACTACTATACGCTATAAAAATAATGAAAAATGGTAAATCACCGGGTCAGACGGGCTCACATCAGAACTTCTTAAGCTTGTGGAAGGCGAATCAGTGACTATTCTACTCGACCTTTTTAACTGCATCTACAAAAGAGGAGAAATACCAAAGGAATGGCTACTTTCAACTTTTGTAACCTTACCAAAAAAGGCAAATGGCAAAACAGTGCACTGACTACCGCACTATAAGCTTAATGGGGCATACATTAAAAGTATTCATCAAAGTAATCCACTCAAGAATTAAACAGAAAACTAGATGCATGATATTAGTAATACTCAATTCGGATTTCGGAACCGGCTTGGAACAAGAGAAGCACTATTTGCACTTAACGTCATATGCCAAAGATGTCTAGATATAAACCAAGATATATATATATATATATATATATATATATATATATATATATATATATATATATGTGCTTTATTGATTACAACAAAGCGTTTGATAAAGTTCACGATCACTTAATGAAACTGCTAGTAGAAAAAAACTTGGATAAAAGGGACATTAGAATTATCTCTAAGATTTACTATAACCAGAAAGCAAATATCCGAATAGAGCAAGAGACAGCGGAGGAAATCGAGATCAAGAAAGGCGTAAGACAGGGTTGTATACTCTCACCGACCTTATTCATCTATACTCCGAAGACATTATAAACACAGCACTTTCGGATCAAACTATAGGTATTAAGATAAATGGCATCCGAATAAACAACTTGAGATATGCCGATGACACGGTACTAATCGCAGAAACTTGGGAAGATCTTCAAATACTAATTAACAAAATAGTAGAATGCAGTGAAGAACACGGATTATCACTTAACATAAGCAAAACAAAAATAATGCTAATATCTAAATCACCACAAAACTTCCCTGACATAACCGTGCATGATCAAAGAATCGAACGTGTAAGAAGATATAATTACCTGGGAACTGTTATCAACGAAAATAATGATTGCTAGAGCCACATGTACTAAATTGAAAAAGGTGTTCTGCGGAAGAGAGCTAAGTATAAAACTTAAAACTCGCCTTTTGAGATGTTACGTTATGTCAGTTCCTCCTCTACGGGATGGAAACATGGACATTGAAAAAGATCGATACCAAAAAGATAGAAGCATTTGAGTTGTGCATGTATCGTAGAATATTAAGAATACCCTGGACAGAGAAAGTAACAAATGTGGAGGTTTTGCGGAGAGTGCGGAAAGAGAAAGAGCTGATACTTACTGTTAAAAAGCGCAAACTACAATATTTGGGACATGTTATGAGGGGAGATAAATACCAGTTGCTGCAATTGATTATACAGGGAAAGATAATAGGAAAGAGATCTATAGGAAGAAGAAGGCATTCATGGTTGAAAAACTTGAGAGAATGGTACAATTGCACCAATTACCAACTGTTTAGATCTGCAGCATCAAAAATACGCATAGCTTTGATGATAGCCAAACTTCGGAACGAAGACGGCACTTGAAGAAGAAGAATAGTGTAGAATTGAAACATTCGTATTGTAGACATCCATTAAGCGTTTGACACTATCGATCTACTCGCACTTCTAAAGGTGCTACAAGAGTGTCTTAATTTGATCATAAATACACCAACATTATAGAAAATATATATAGTAATATAAAATATAAATAAAGATGAAAGCAAGGATTAGATATCTGGAAATAGGTATAACTAGTTTCGGAGATGTTGAAGAAGTACGACAACAAAGCTTAAAAGCAAGTAAAGCGGCGGGTTCTCTTAATGGAAGACAATCTAAATGAATACAATTTGGAAGAAACAAACACCTAAGACAAGACACAGAACGCATAAGAATTCTTAGATGTTACGTCTTTAGTGTCCTCGTCTATAAAATAGAAAGCCTTACAACAGATGCCATAAAACTATTGGAGGCATTTGAAATGTGGTGTTACCGACGTATGTTAAGGGACTCATATATAGGTAGACCACATAAGTAACATAACTATTCTTCCGATGCTAAGAAAAGAAAAAGAAATTATTAACATCGTAAAGAACGGAAAATTGGCATACGGCCACATCATGCGTAATGATAAATACCGACTTCTACAATTGATTCTACAGATCAAGATTGAGGGTAAGAGAGGCCCTGGAGGTAGACGTATATCCTGGCTGGCCAATCTTAGGAAATGGACTCGTTTAACGTCAACTGATCTATTTCGAGCTGCTATGAATAGAATAAGATGGGTCAATGCGGCCGCCAATATCTCTAGGAGATAGCACATTTAGAAGAAGATAAATACCAAAGACAATGAAAAAAAAAACAAGTTGAGACGTCAAATGTTGTACTATTTTAAGGGTTTTTACCCAAATATGTAACTTGACTCATGTACACCTGGTAGATGCATGATGATGGACTTGTTAGTCCAAAAACGTTGTGATCTAGCCTGAAAAGGTTTTCTTAAATTAAATTGCTTTTATAAAGAATTAAAAAAAAACTTTTGTGATTTTTGGTATACGGCCAACTACTATTATAGAATTAACAACTACTATTATAGAATTCTATTTTTCTTGTGGAGACCAATTAACTGTCTAACTAAACGAAATTCTCTGTAAAGTAAAACTTAAAATTTTAATAAAAATAATAAAAAAAAGAAGAAAATCATCAGTACATACCTCATCTATTTCTTTAGCTAATTCGTTTGATTGTTTTCGTAATTGTGAATTGATTTCTTCGCTTTCGTAACTTTCTGTAATTAAAACTTTTGTCTTCTCTAAAGTTCCACATAACTTGGACTGAAAATTTCTTAAGTCTTCGACAAGCTGCTTCTGTTCATGTCGTAATTTTTGATTGAGTATTTCTGAGTCGATTAAAAGATCATTCATTTGCAGTTCTTTTCGCTTTAAGTTATATGTTTCTTCATCTCTATAAAATGCTTCAATGGTGGTATTTTTTGGTTTTTGCGAATCGCATTTCTGGTAGTTGATGGTGTTTAAATGATCAGTTTTTTCTTGTTTTAGATTAAATAATGCTGTATCATTTTGACTTAATTTTTCGTACGTTCTTTCAATCTGATCTTCGAGATCAACAATATCTCTATTAATGCACACATTTGGGTCAACTAGGTTATTAATGCGTGTATTTTCGTCTACTTGTACTTTCTCTAATACATCTTTTGTTGCTAGTTTTGGTCCAGTTGTTGATTGTTCTACTAATGGCAAGTCACCTATAGAATACTCATTAGGATTTTCTGTTTCACGTTTTAATATTGTATTATAATAAACATTAATATAATCCGGCATCCGGTCGTGTATGTAATTTAATTTTTCTTTTTCGTTGTAAATGTTCTCACTTAGATATGAAGTATCATGATTAATATGTAAATGTGATATTAATTTGGTTTGGCTGTCTTTCGTTTCTGATTTGTATATATCGTTCAATATATCTTCTTTATTATAATATCTGGAAGAATAAATTAACAATAATATTAACATCTGTAAGCAAAAGTAATAAAATAGTTGTTACGAATATTTATTATTTGTATACAATGTATTTAGTTAAATTTTAGTTCTATAATGTTATCCAAAATTTCCTGTTGCTACTGTTCTCTATACTATATTAAAGATAATATCAACACGTCAAAAAACAAACTGCCACCGATTAGGGAAAAATTTAAATAAGTTAGAAGACAGCAAAAGAACAAAATTTGAGTTTTTTCCCAAATAAAATATTTCGCAAATATATGCTCCTACAGTGGAGAGTAGCGAAGAAGACACAGAAAATTTTACAAAACTATTGAACAAACAGTAAAAGTTGTTAAATTTAGAGACATTACAATAATAATGGGAGATTAAAATGCGAAAATTGGGAAAGGCGAATGTGGCAAATGGGTTGGAAAATATGGTCTCGTCCAAAGAAATGAAACAAGTGATCGGCTGTTGCAATTTTGCCAGGAAAATAATTTTATAATTAAAAACACATTTTATCAACTACCAAGAAGACGAGTATATACGTCGAAATCTCCTGGGGACACTAAAGACCATATTATACGAAATCAAATAGATTATATAACCATAAACAACAGATATAAAAACACAATCTGTGAAAACGTTATCCAGAAGCAGATAATATTTCAGACAACAATCCAGTAGTGGCATGATTCTGAAAAAAACTTAAGTTTAAACACCTAAGCTCAAACAAGTAATAGATATCAATCGTTTAAATGATGAAACAATTAAACATCAGATAGAAACAAGCATTCAGGCAAATCTTGAAAAACTTGAAAAAGACAGAGAAGATACCAGAACTAGACATTAATAAATACTGGGCCATTATTAAAAAAACTGCTGGAGCCCGCTAAAAATATTCTGAAGAGAGAAAAACCAAAGTAACAGAAAGAATGGATGAGTGACGAATTTTTGTTATTGATGAATTCTCGAAGACTATCGAAAGGTAAAAATAAAGAACAGTATAAGCAAATTAACAGAGAGATCAAAAGAACAATCCGCGACGCCAAAAAACAATGGTCACAAGACAAATGTAAGGAGATTAAAAACTTGGAAATGATTCGTCTTATCTAAGTTAATGAAATGATCAACAATAAAAACAGGAAGCAGACAGTACTTATAGACCAACAAGGGAACATGATAATGGAAACAGAGGAGAAACTAAAACATTGGCAGACATACATAGAACTGTTTGATGATCAAAGACAGCCTCCTTGTGATAATTTTCCAGAGGAGACACGTCCAGAAATAAGCAAAGAAGAAGTAATGCAAGCGGTGAAGTCATCAAATAATAGCAAAGCTCCCAGGACCAGACGCGGCTACCAGCGGATATGCTAAAGTTGATAGACGAAGATCGAATCCATTTGTTAGTAGACTTATTTAACAAGAATTGTGAAAACAGTATAATTCCTGAAGAATGGCTAATCAACCTTTGTCCCTCTTCCCAAGAAGGCACATGCTAAGCAGTGCAGTGATCATCGCGCGATCAGTCTGATGAGCCATACCTTAAAAATATTCCTCAAAATAATTCACAATAGAATTGACAGAAAATTGATATCGGAGAAACTCAGTTTGGATTCCGGGACTTTGCCAACACCAGAGGTGATGGCAAACGAGAAATAAATATTGAAGAGGAAGAGGTAAAGGATGCATTAAGGAAATTAAAAAAAGAAAATATATATGCGTCTAGTAGAATTAGGATGGGATGGATAAAGTGGAAGGAAGCAAATAGTGTGTGGTGTTGTAGGAAGATCCCAATGAAACAAAAGAGAAAATTCTATAAAACTCCCATAAGATCAGCTATAAAATTCGGAACTGAATTTTTCACAGTTCAAAAGAAGTTGAAACAACAACCAATGTATATGGCGATAATGAGATCAAATTTTTCTATAATATAATTTACCTGATAGGTTTTCCTTCGAAAGACATCATAGTTTTTCCATTTAAATATGCATGTTACATTACCTGATTTCTGTTATTATGGATATTTTGTATTACTTTTTGTATTGCGTAGTTTGATAGAAAAGGACTTTTGTATTTTGATAAAAACACTAGAATTTTGTAATATATATTATATAATAAAATTTATTTTGATATGTATGATTGTCAATGACAGGTAATAGATATTATGACAACTACATAGGGTTTTTTCCATGTAATCTGTTTTGATGGGTTAAAATTAATTAAATGTTAAAATTTTATTTTGTCAAAATCATAGACCAAAGTACTGCAAATGAATTGACATATGACATAAGTTGACATGAAATAAATACACAAAGTTCTTGTTGAGACCACAAAGGGTCAATCTTTTATTAACAAAATCTCTAAATTCTCTAACAAAAATAAACATCGGTTGTTATAAATGAATGAAAACCAAAAAAATCACAAATATATATATATATATATATATATATATATATATATATTTATATATATATATAGGATTATAGATTCAGATGTTATATCAAACAAATGTAATGATTACTTTATAGATGCACCAGAAGATATAATTATCGTGTGGTTTAGATGAAATATCAGGTATAACAATTAAGAAAATTGCGTCTCCGATTTTGACACTACTTGCTCAGATTATAAATGCTTCTTTCAATACTTGTGTTTTTCCCAGTATGCTGAAAGTTTCTATCATTTCACCGTTATTAAAATAAAGTGATCATGAAATAATGTCAAATTTTCGACCATTGTCTGTTACAAATGTGGTATCTAAGATTATTGAATAGACAATGCTAAAACAACTTTTATCATTTTTAGATATTTAACCAGACGATGCAGACGATACAGTTAAGTGATGAATGGACTACAATGCCTTTTAAATGCCATTGATACAGTGGGAAGAGAGTTGGGCCTAAACATAAACTGTTCAAAACAAAACACATTGGTATTTAGCCGATTAGCACATCAAGATGCACGATTATATGTTGATGGTCATATAATTCAAAGAATGTCCAGTTTTAAATATATCTTGGTTGCCATATTACTGAACAACTAGATCCAGATTAAGAGATAAAATGTAGAATCGAGATAGCCCGCAAGACATTTTAAAAATGAGGTCATTCTTCTGTAATGAATAACTTGAAACTTCGAAAGCGTATGGTTAAATGCTACAATTGGTCAGTCCTCTTATACGGTGTCGAAGCATGGACATTAAAAATATCCACCATTAATCGTCTGGAGGCCTTTGAAATGTGGCTGCACAGACGTATACTAAAAATTCCATGGACGGCTATGCTGACAAATGTGGCAGTCCTTGAGAGAGCAAATGCTGCTCGCGAGCTGCTTGATAACATCAAATGTAGAAAGATTTTGGACTATTTTGGACACGTAGTCAGGGGAGACCGATATAATATTCTTCAACTTATTATGATGGGTAAAATCGAAGGACGCAGAGGAATTGGTAGAAAGCAGGCCTTCTTGGTTGAAGAATATCAGAGAGAGGACAGGAATAAAGAAAGCTAAGCAACTCTTTAGAATAGCTCGAGACAGAGACAGTTTCGCCATTTTAATCGCCAACGTCAAGGGGACTTGATAGGGCACGTTAAGAAGAAGAAGATATTTACCAAATTATCACAAAGCATCAACATAGATTTCGATATAAATTTTTCTACTTCCGCCACCAAGTTTCTATAAGAAAGTTTTAATCTCAATTAAAAACAGTAAAAATCCAACTGTCATTTTTGTGACCTTCGTCGTGTTTTTGATTGTGTGCAACACGATGTACTTCTGGATAGATTGTATAGATATCGTGTTAGGGGAGTTGCCTATAGTTGGTTTGATTCCCTCTCTGAAAGACCAGCACCAAAATAGTTAAAATAAGAAATAACTTCAAAATTTCAATAACTGGTGCGATTGTTATTAAGAATGTAATAACACAGGGTTCCATATTGGGCCCGATATTATTTATTTTGTATATTAATGAACTCATTGGAACAAATGAGAAAACGTGGAATATTAAGTTTAAAATTAACCTTTACAAATAAAAGTATAGTACGAACCTAAGACATAATTAGGAAGATAAAAAGAATTTATATTGTTGTCATTACACCATGATTCGAATATACATAGTAAATCCGGACTTTCAGTTTTAAGTAATAATTCGATAGGATTTATTTTGTTTACAATAGATGGAGAATTAATAAATACGATTTTTAGTTGATTGGTGTTACCTTTAAACCTATTTGTAGTATCTAGATTGCCTAATTTCGGACTCGCAACTATTATTTCCGGTTTTGTTGGTGACTGCGGCTAGTAAAATTCTTGTACTTGAACTCAAAACGACGAACCATTGAACCTTCAGGCTAGATGCTGGGGTTGAATATTTCATTTTTGTATTCTAGTGGATATGAAACTTTAAAGCTTACTTGGTACTCGGTAACCTTTATCTTCTTGCAGTAGAAATTAACATTTCGAGCATTTACTTTAATAATTGGTCAAGTCTTCGATTGTCGTTTCAGGATATAGTTGGTAAACACTTAAAACCCCAATTTTTTGGAACTGTCTTCACTTCTGTAGATGAAATAGAATTAGAAGCTCATCCAGTAATGGGTTTGTTATACATCTTCGCTGCTTTAACTGCATCTCGCATTTGTTCATTAGTGATTATGTTTACCTTTGTATTGAGCTTAGAGTTGTCACGACGTCGTTCATATCTGCCACTGCCACTCTTATCATATACAGATGTATGTTGTGTCGTCAATTCTAAAGGAATAGAATATAGAGGAATTTGAAGTCTGATCTCTTGATGTTTTTGTTGATTGTTTTTCGTCAAGACATAATTGCACTAATTTGATCAACGTTTCTTGTTCATAAGCCGTATTATGTCGTATACAGAAAAGACCGAAAATTCCATGAGGTGGACAAAGTGAAGGGTGGTGGTGTAGTGCTCGCGTTAAAAGATTTCATAACATCTGAAATATTGGACATTACGGCTCTCGACGAACAATTTCCACTAATTGATCTTATTATTGTCAAGTGCCGGATTGGTTACAAATATTTTTATACAGTTGTTTGTTTATTTACCTGATAGATTAAGTTTGGTAGACTTTGAATATTTTTTTCGATTGCTTAGGACAATTTAATTACTTAAATAATGACTGTATAGTACTAGGCGATTTTACTGTTTCAAGGTTTATAGATAATGATATGTGTGATTTCAAAACTTCTGTAGTTTTAAGTTTTGCGGGCTCTACTGGCCTTAGACAATTTAACATTGTTGTTAATCATTTGGGTAGACTGCTAGATCTGGTCTTATCGCATTTCAGTTGTGAAGTGAAGCATGATGACTCACCTTTGGTCTATGAAGACTCTCATCACCCAGCTCTTCTAATAAGATTTACGGATATATTTGTAAAAGAGCCTAAATTTAAGTGTGGTTTGAAGCAATTAACTTACAACTTTAAAAAAGCAAATTTTCCTGCTTTATATCGAGAACTGTATGAAACGGATTGGAATTCTCTGGATACTTCTAATGATGTTAATGAAACTTTAAATATCTTTTATGATAAGATTTTTTCTGTGTTTAATAAGTATATTCCAGTTTATAAAAACTTTAGCCATAAATACCCCCCCTGGTTAGATGCTGATATCATTCACAACATCAAATTAAAAGCACAAGTTTAGAAAAAAATTTAAACGATTCAAAAATCATTGTGATTTGCTTGAGTTTCAACGGTTAAGACACCTTGTCAAATCAAAAATCAGTTTGACATACAATGTATATGTCAAGAATATCCAAATTGCTTTATCCATCAACACCAAGAAGTTTTGTTCTTATGTAAATTCAAAAAATAATAGTTCAAGAATTCCTGGTGTGATGAAATATAATGACATTACTACCTCTGACCCCACAAAATATTGTGAATGTGTTTGCAGAATTTTTCAAGAGTGTTTTTCTGTCATCAGATATTAATTTCAAGGCTAACTCTTTCTCAGTTAACGCAGATTACTTAAATTTTATCCTATTTTAGAGTCTGAGATAATTTTTGCTAGTAAGAAATTGAAAGACAAAATGACGTGTGGACCTGATAATATTTCATCCTTTTTGGTTAAGGATTGTATAGGTGCCTTAACTGTGCCAGTATTAAAAATTTTTAATTTATGTCTTCTTAACAAGGAATATCCGAGTCTCTGGAAGGAGTCACAAGTGTGCCCAATATTCAAAACTGGTGAAAAGGGTCAGGTAGAAAACTACAGACCAATTTCCATTATTTGCAATCTATCGAAAGTCTTTGAAATAGTTTTGTGTAATCGTATTTATTCACGCACTCGTAATCAGCTATCTCAATATCAACATGGTTTTGTCTCCAATCGGTCCACTGTGACAAACTTATTAATGGTCACACAATATATCTTAGCAGCCCTAGATAATAGAAATCAAGTTGACGTTATATATACTGACTTACGAAGGCATTCGACAGAATTCACCACGGCGTATTACTTTTTAAATTGTGTCTCTTTGGTCTTTCTGAGGATGCCGTGACTTTTATGAGGCCTTACTTGTCAAATAGAACGCAGTTTATTGCTTATAATGGTTATAAATCGGAAAAGTACCTGAAGATCTTTTCAGGGGTTCCACAAGGTTCTAATCTAGGTCCATTATTGTTATTGTTATTTATTACCTATCTGTGTGAATCAATTTCTGCACCATGTTTATGTTATGCCGATAATTTAAAGATTTATTCATTGATAAGCGACCTTAATGATTGTCATTTTCTGCAGAGTGAACTGAATCATGTACATGAATGGTGTAATGCAAATCATTTGAATCTTAATGCCAATAAGTGCAAAGTAGTTAGTTATTCTAGGAAACAGTCCAATATATACCATCCTTATATTATCGATGGCAATGAACTTGAACGTTTGAGTAAAATTAAAAACCTTGGAGTTACATTTGATTATAAACTCACCTTTGTTGAACATTTTAATTTATAGGTTAAAGGAGCACTTAAATCTTATGGATTCATAATTAGAAATAGTAGAAATCCCACTAATACTAAGGCAATTAAATTACTTTATTACACTTTTGTACGCTGTAAACTGGAATATGCTTGTGTCATTTGGTCACCTTTTTATGATGTACACATCCAAATTATACAGCACGTGCAGCGTAAAT